TGTCTCTACTAAAAATATAAAAATTAGCTGGGAATGGTGGCTGGCACCTGTAATCCCAGCTACTCAGGAGGCTAAGGCAGAAGAATCGCTTGAACCTGGGAGGAGGTGGAAGTTGCAGTGAGCCGAGATGGTGCCACTGCACTCCACCTGGGCAAGAGAGAAGGAGTCCATCTAAAAATAAAAAATAAAAATAAAAAATAAATTTTAATTAAAAAAAAATTTCTGAAACTCTCTACCTACACCTTCTGCCCTGTGACAATCTTAAAGACATTGCCTCTTGCTGACTTCCTGGCTCTTTCTTAGGATCCTACAGCTCTCTGGCCCTCTTGTGAACTGGTTCCCTTGGTTCATGGTCCACTCTGACCCATGATTCCTCCACTAAATTTGTCAAAGTGGCCAAAGAAACAGAGACTTGCATTTTACTCCAACGGTTCTATGCCCCTTATTGGTTTGCTAATAAGATGCTTTCCTCGAAGACCTTATTCAAAAATACTCACATCCCTGGCCTGCCCCACCAGCATTCTGTATTCCCTTATGCTGCATAGCATTTGTTACTACTGAAAAAAAAAAAACGTGTGTGTATACACATATACATGTGATTTTAAAAAACTTGAATATTTTTTGTCTCTTCACTAGAATATCAGCTCTTTTGGCCAGGTATCATGTCTGTTGTTTTCATTGCTACATCTCCATTACTTAGAAAAGTAACTGGCATATGTTGGTTGCTCAGTAAATATTTGTTGAAGAAATTAATAAACGGAAAATCTAAGACAATTGTATAGGTTAATTTAATTTAATATAATGAGAAAATAAATCCCAGCCACTTGGGAGGCTGAGGTGGGAGGATCATTTGAACCCGGGAGACAGAGATTGCAGAGAGCCAAGATCGGACCACTGCACTCTAGCGTGGGCAACAGAGTGAGGCCCTGTCTCAAAAAATAAATAGATAAAAGAATATTATATTATAAATTTAGATATAGAGCTATTAATGCCTAATTGGAAGAGATTTCCAAAGTTCTTCAGGCATAGTGTTTCTCAAGGTGTGGTCGAGGGACCTCCCCACCCCAGGGATTCCTGAGATTGCATCAGAGTATCTGAGAGGCCAGAATTATTTTCAGAATGATATTAAGCCATTATTTGTTTATTTTTTTCCCCTCATTCTTATTCTTTTACAAGTATACAGCAGATTGTTTTTTTCTGGGGAAAGAGATTTTAAAAATAAAAAATAAAACAAGTATACAGGAAAGTTATCAGAGGCTACTTTTATGTAATATTGTATTGGTTTGAATGTAGAAGTAAATAGGAAAATTTTATTCTTTTTGATTAAGCCAGACATTAAAGCAAAAAAGCAAAACAATGTCACTATTCTTATTTTTTTTTATTTTGGAAAATAGTTATTTTCATAAAATGTCATTTATATTAAGATGTAATGAGTTGATTATCGTTTTTAAATTAATTAAATATTTTAAGATTGTCTCAGTTTTAATTTCTAATATGATAAAGATCAATAGCTAAAACCCACTTTACCAAAAGCTATTTGAGGTCTAAGTAAATTAAGAGTATAAAGGGATCCTGAAACAAAAATTTTTTTAGAATCACTGTTCTTTTCTATCATTTGGTTACCATAAAGAATTAAAGCAAATGACTAATATGAACCAAAAGAAAGCTGGGATAGCAGTTTTAATATCTGGCTAAATGGCATGCAAGGCAAGGGGAAAAAAAGTGTGTGTGTGTGTGTGTGTGTGTGTGTGTGCACGCACGCACATGGTGTAGGAATCTAAGGCAAAAGTATATGATATAAATATATAAACATATATAGTAATGGAGAAAGGATAGCATGTACTAGTATAAGGAAAATTTAAGAAGATATGTTCATAGCATATATATCTAATTATGTAGTGTCAAATATATCAGGAAACAACTGGCAAAAATATATGGATAAATGGATAAATCAAATATAATTGGAGGCCGGGTTCGGTGGCTCACGCATACAACTCCAGCACTTTGGGAGGCCAAGGCAGGCAGATCACTTGAGGTCAGGTGTTCAAGGCCAGCCTGGCCAACATGGTGAAACCCCATCTCTACCAAAAAATACAAAACAAACAAACAAAAATTATCAAAATTAGATATTTTAACACACCCTTTTCAGAAATTGTTAAATCAAGCAGAAAAATAGCAGAGTTATCAAACACATGAACAACAGAAATAGTGATCTCAGACTTCTAGATCAGAATCCAGACCCAAGAGAAAAGAAAGAGATGGTCTTTTGGAGTGCACACTGAACACTTGCAAAAACAGATCATGGATTAGGTCATGAAAGAAACTTGAGCGCATTCCAGGCAATCAAGATCATGAAGACTGTCTTCTCAGACCATCATGCAACAAAACTAGACATCAGGAATAAAAGGATGAATTTAAAATTCCTGTGTTTCCCAACAAATTAAGAAATAGTTAGGGCCGGGCACGGTGGCTCACGCCTGTAATCCCAGCACTTTGGGAGACCAAGGCGGGCAGATCACCTGAGGTCAGGAGTTCAAGACCACCCTGGCCAACATGGTGAAACTGTCTTTATAAAATAAAAAGATTTTTTTTCTTTTTTTTTTCTTTTTTTTTTTTTTTTTGAGATGGAGTTT